GGTGGGGTAGGAAGAGAGGCTACGACCCACAAATGATCGCTCAACACTGTCCACATTTTCTTTAACAACAATAAAATTTTACACCGTATCGCTGTGTGATTGCGGTCTTCTGTTTTCATTTTGTAGTTTCGTATCATCACTGCACCATTTCAACACGTGGGCTTCGCTGATTTCTGGCTGGCTGATCAACTAAACAGTCTTGTAGTAGCACTATTGGATTTCCAGTATATTATTTGTTTTTATTCACATGATTGGCATGTAGATAGTAAGTACCAGAACTCTTTCGCGTGATACAACCTACTGTACTATGTCATGTGATCGTTTTCGCCATCTTTGTTTAGATAAACAACTATTTCAAAATAAGTTGCTGAAGGTTTTGTTACATCTTGCATTTTGCATGGGCCACCACACTATGGGCGATGAGAATCCAATAGTCCCTTTCACAGTTCCCTGCGCCATCGTGAAAGGTAGCCGTGCCTTTGCATCGAAGCGAGACAAACGGTGGGCTTGCATTGACAGAGACATGTGAATAATTGTCCAAGGATCTCTATCATTGCAAGCTCACCGTTCGTCTCGCTTCGATGCAAGGGCACGGCTACCTTTCAAGATGGCGCACGGCAGGGAACGGTGAAAGGGACTATCTTTTTTAACACCTTGGACAATTATTCGCGTGTCCCTATCATTGCAAGCTCAACGTTCGACACGCTACAGGCACAGCTACCTTTCAAGATGGCGCAGGAACTATGAAAGGGACTATCAGAGAAAGGTTATAAAGATATGGAAATTTACCACACTTTGTCTGCACCTTTTTCCGACTTAATTTCTTTTGTGCTGTACATGATATACATATGAATACAATAAGTTTCAAGCTTAATAGGCAACCTGCAAGATGCAAGATGCAGCATGGAACATGCAACAAAACCTGTAACAACCTTTTTTGAAATAGCCGTGTTTTTCATGTGTTTGTGTTCAGGCGCGAAACACGGTGCAACGTTGCGCGCGATATTGGCGGTAATGTTGCTGATGTAGGATCGTTTACTCCTTGAGCAACATTGCGTGCAACAAATGCGTCGTGTTTAATGGCTCGCAACATCAGTTGTCTGCAATATTGCGCTCAATGTTGCATCGTGTGTCCGTGGATTTAAGAGTTCTATAGGATCATCGCTAGTTAAAACTCACAGATTTTGCAGGTCTTTATTGGTTCATTAACATCCCTTAAATATAGGTGTCTCAGAGACAGGATATTGCCTGTCATTTATATTTCATGGTTGCTAATAAGGCCTTTGAATCTAGAAATCGATAAAATCAAAATAAAAAAGCCCGAAATGTTTAATGGTAATCGTTCGCCGGAAACGATGATATACAAGCGATTCAATGTTATATTAGAGAGTTTTAGATTTACGTTCACGGCAAACGTGAAACGTCAGTTGACCAGTAAAAAATGCTTTTAAATTACTGAAAAAGAGTCGCAAAAAAGTCCAAGTAGTAGAAAAACAAAAGAATATTTGCGCTTGGTGAGAAGGTTTGTAAAAGGTAAAGTAAAATACAGGAAAACTATGAAAACGTGGCCACGTTTGCCGTTTGCGGGGAGAAAAAAAGTCAATCTAAAACTCTCTATTATAAAAGTTCTGCATTACTTATTCCCTGTACCCGTAAGTTGATCGAGATGAAATCACTATTATTTGACAGGTAAAGAGCGGATTTGTGACACCAATCTCTATGGTCTTCGGCCTCTAGTTGCGTGTCTCCCGGCCTGGTTCCGGTTTGCGCAGTGCCTCAGACGTTATAAAGACACGCGGGATGTATTCCCGCATTTAGTCAACGCGGGGAAATACTCCACCTCATTCTTTGTGGTAGCCTTCTCTACCTTAGGTAAGATGCACATTGTTTACACACTTGATCCAGCAACAAATTAGAACATTTTTACCACCACAAAAATTGTATGCGTGGTTTATTTAGCTGGAGCCCATCGGCAGGGCATATATTACGTCTCTAGATAGTTTATTATGTTCTTATGGAGCTGCGGGGGAGACTAGATTTTTAACGAGTAAAATATAAATCTTTTTTCCCCTGGGTAACTGAATTCTTTCTCGTATAAGTCATAGTAGACCGTATTCAATTGTCCTTGCCTCCTGTCATGGCTACCATCACGTGATGGTGCAAGCCTCTATATAGCAGAGGAACCGTGAAAAGGACTATTCTCGTTTGTCCCATGAAGGCCTTCTAAACACCGTAATATTTATTCCCACAGCAAAGTCTAATTCTCCGGAAAGTGACAAATTCTTTTTATTATGGATTGTGGCTGCGATCATCAGCACGTGTTACACCTTGACCTGGGATATCAAGATGGACTGGGGACTACTAGACAAAAAGGCGCCAGTTGAAAATAAATTCCTAAGAGAAGAAACTGTATATAGGTACAAGGTATGTCATGTGACTCGCACAGCCAATCAGGGCATCAGACGTTTGTAACGAGGATATTCTAAATAAGCCAGTTCGTAGTTTAAGAGTTGTTTCAAGTGCGCATGCGATTTTATGCTCAATTTCTCACATTCTTTTGTTTAAACCTTCTTTTGTTCATAATTAAACAAAAGAAGGTGAGAAATTAGGGATGAATTCGCACGGGCACGACCCATGGACACTGAAAACGATTCTTAAACTACGAACTGGCTTAATTGAATTCTTCGTTTGCACCTGACGCCCTAGTCGCCATCTTTGTTGAATTTAACATTGAATCCTTTTGTTATATCAATCAACATCTCTGTCGTATTTTTTGTTATTTCATTTTCTTGGGAATGAGTGAAAACCAGGAATAGGTATTGGCTCAAGTAAAGTCTTAAGATAGCCTCTTTGGTCTGCATATAAGGGGGGGGGGATCTTAAATAGGCTGTTAAACTCTTATTGAGTAATGACAAAATGGGGCTTTGTAGCCCAGGATGTTAGGACTCAGTTACCCAGACTCTCCTAGCAGGGGGAGGGGTCCGTCTCATGTTTTTAGTAGTTCGTTGAAATTCTTGTCTGTATTTAGCCTGCGTAGCGGCCCTCTGTTGTTGTGTTTTTTTCTTTGTGAGTAGTGGGGATCGCACACACACACACACACACATACACACACACACACACACACACACACGCACACACACACACACAGACACACACACACACACAACAGAGGGCCGCTACGCAGGCCAGTCTCTATTAGTCTCTATTTGTTTAAGTAACTTATATTTTTCACCAGGCATGTTACTATTTGGCAATGCTCGAAGACTTTATATTTAGGTTTTTGTGGACTCTAACAGTTTCAGTAGGAGATTTGGAACTCTTCCATTCGGAGATTCTCAAGCTTGTTCTGGCATTGTGTGAAGTGTTTAGGTATGTAAGCAGTACATTATGGGACTGTTTTAAGAGACAAAATGGACGTCATCTTGGAAATAAGCCCCTTGGAGCAGTCCCACAATGCATTGCAATGTCAACTCGACCCAGTTTTTTCCCTCGATCTCGGAATGCCCAATATTGAATGCCCAACCTCAATTCTTGGGGTGACCGAAAAATCCCTTGAAATATAAATAACAATGAAATAGCCGCCATCTTGGTTGATCTGACAAGAGAAGCTTGACGAATGGTTTGTAATCGTCATCCAACGTGGCGGCTATGACGTAACATGCACCCTAGAATACAGATAAATACAATAACTATGATTCTCTTACAGGCGGTTCGTATGGAATTTTTTCCGTCTGGAGAACGAACATCTGAACAATTGCGGTCAGTTCCGTGCTGTACGAGACATATCCTTCATGCCTAAAGACACACATCACCAGGCACAAATCGAAGACATCATGGATGATGAAAACGGTTTGGGGCCAGATTCGAAACGAAAGCGAAAAGCTAGTATAATGATTAAGTCGATTACTACCAACAAACGCTCCTCTCCCACGAACGAAATTATTATCGAGAATGATACTGCCAGAGATCTAGATACTAGAGTGTAATATTGTAATTATTTTATAAATTACAGTGCGATGATTATTTTTGAATAAAATGTATGCATGGTATTTCATGTTTTATGGTGTTATTCTTCGTTTCCAAAAGACGTCATAGCCGCCATGTTGGAAGAATTCGACAAAAGATTTTTCAATGAATTTTTTTGTTATAGCTTCCAACATGGCGGACATCCCTTTTGTTATTGTGCTCTCTTGGGATTGATTGCAAACCAAGAATTCGTTTCAATAAACCGATACACCGAACCACCACTTTCACTCGTATACCACAGTCACAAACATAACACTACTTATACAAAACCATAATTTTAAATCATCCCCTTTTCCTTATATAGGGGTTTTGCACCATCACTAGCGCACGTCTATAATACAGTTTGAGCTGCCTGTGGATGGAAAGCAGAACAATAAAATCCATTTACTCTTCCCCATTCCCCCTCGGGGTTCGTGCTACTCCTTAAACTCCTCGAAAACTCCTTGAATTTAATTCACGTTTTCAAGGGCACTTGAAAAGCTCTTGAATTTTATGGTTTTAGCGAAACTCCTTGAATTTTTGCTTTGATCATTACTTGCATGGTTCTGAAATAGATCTAGTCAGAAAGACTGGAGAATCTTAAAGTCGGCCATGTGCAACCACCGTGTAAAACCTTGGCATATTTAACTGAACATACTCCTTGTAATTTCATTTTTGGGTCCTTGTATACTCCTTGAATAGTCCTTGAATTTTAAGTGGTTACCTCAGCACGAACGCTGCCCCCCCTCAAGAGCTGCGCTGCTACGCAGGCTATATTCATATTGAGGAATAAAGCGTGGGCCTGTCTCTCTTAAGGTGGCTGCCTACTTTTGAACGTTCGAATTGAGCCCACGATGAGCGCGCGCTCAAAAACCGCTGAAAAATCTACAAGATTTCATTGAAGAACCATACGTGTTTTGAGCTTCAACAGGGCAAAACCCTCAAATTTTGCACGGTACTCTGTTTTTTAATAGCTCATTTGAAAAAACTCCTAAAAATCTAGGTTATATCAACATTTTAGAAAAAGTTTAAATCAGTGACACATGAAAAAATGGATTTTTGTTCGACTTTATGAGATTTTTTAAGAGCACCGAAACTACAAAATATGACAAATCAATGTATTTTTTTGTATTTTTGTCGAAAATATCCATGTATTATTGTAGAATGATTGACTAGCCTTCATTCGTGCAATCATAGAGTCTGCAA